GCTACTAGGTTGTCCATTTCTATCAGTTTCAGCTTTGTTAGAGAGGAGAGCTGGCCAAGGGACTGACCGATGGTAAGGAAAGGGAGAGACCTTAACTTGAGGCTTCGAACGGATGGAAGGAGTTTCCTGCTGCTGCTGCTGGCGGTGCTGTCGAAAATTACCGAAGGACCCTTGGCAGTGCGTTTCAGCACTATCTCATCTCCTAGTAACGCGCCGATACCATCACATACCCGCACCTCCAACACCCGCACTCGAGGCAGCTCAACCAACGATGCAGGGAGACGCTTCAAGCCGTCCATCCGTGCGAACTTGACCACCTCGAGCGCCTCCAGCCGTCCGATCCCCTCAGGAAAATCCGGTACTTTAGGGCAATTGCAAATCTCCAGGCTGGTGTGTGAAAAGACTCCTGAGAAGGAAGCAGGAAGCGCAGCCAGGCGAGGCATGTCTTGAAGCACCAACTCTTTCAGGCTTGTCAAGCAGCAGAAGTCGTCCAGTAGGGTGCCTCTGAAGCGTTTAGCTTGCATGATCTTGAGGGTTTCAAGGGATTTCAGGGCGGAGAAGGATGGAGGAAGGTGGGTGAGATATGAGCAGCGCTCCAAATGCAAATAGCGCAACCGCTGCATGCCGTTCCCCATTTCATCTGGCAGCACCGTGAGATAGGGACAAATCTTGATCGTCAGGTGCTCGAGAGAAGTGAGCTGGGACAGAGTGTTCTGAAGTTGCTTCAGCTGCCCACACTCCACTATTTTCAGCTCCCGGAGAGCTGTCAACTGCCCGAGGGATTCGGGCAGACCTGTGAGCCGAATAAGGCCATTCAGGCGCAGCTTTTCAAGAGCCATCAGCTGCCCGAAGTCCTCGGGCAGTGACGGCAGGTGGTAAATATTATCCAAGGAAAGCTCTTGGAGCGTGGTAACCAGAGAGATTGAATCAGGAAGACTTGCGAGTTCCTCCAATTCCAGATCGAGTGTCTGTAGCTTGGACAAGCGCCCAAGATCGTCAGGCAGAGCTGAAAATTCTGGCATGTGAAGCATGAGACTGGTGAGTGAAGGCAGGCAGAAGAGAGACTCCGGCAGAAACGTGATCTCGCTGCAGTCTTTTAAAACTAGAGTCTTGAGCCGCCATAGATGCTCTAGAGCCTCGATTAGGCCGTGCAGTCCCGTTACTTCTTCCATGATGAGGGTTTCGAGCCTCGATAGTTGAGGAAAATCGACGGGTGGCGGGAGAGAAAACTCGCAATCTCGAAGCTCCAGGAGAGAGAGAGAGAAGAAAGTCCGGTGAGAGAGGCCGGCAGCTGCAACCTTGAAGAGTTGTTGACGGAGAGACGGCTCAGACTGGAAAGCTGACTGAATGAGTCTGGAAACGACGCCAGGGAGCGGCACCCGTGCAACTCGAGCGACGTTAAGAGAATCCGATTGCCGAATTCCTGTGGTAAGGCCTCGAGACGGGAAGCGTGCAGCACGAGGTTTCTGAGGGACTGCAGCGAGGTTAATGTGTCGGGAAGTCGCGTGACGCTTGTTTCGAGATGCAGGTTCATGAGCAATGTGAGCCGTTCGATCGACGGAGGAATGGCAGCACGGAACGAACACTCCAAATGGAGATCTTCGAGCAGAGTACACGTCTGGAACAGAATATCCAGGCTCTTCTCGCTTACGCCAGTGCGTCTGCATTCGCGTCCCATCGTCTCAACACTAAGCTCGGTCAGTTGAGGACACACGTCGGCGAGGCGAGAGAACAGATAATTCGACGCTGAGGTGAGGCTGCCATCAGAAAGAGCTTTTTTTTTTTAGGTTAGAGTACGACGAGAGAAGTTGAACGAGGCGACGCGGATCCATGAGGAGGTTACAAGGCAAGAGGATTTCTGGTTGCAAGCGGTACGCGATGTCACGCCATTGGTGGCTAACGAGTGCGTGCTCCATCTGACCATCAGGTCGAACCAGAGAGCACAGAATCTGAGACAGCAGCTCCTCCGGTAGCCGTTGGATAGGCGACGGCATCTTGAAACGAGGGACCAACAAAAGATTAATGGCCGCTCACCAATGTAAGTCTGCCTTTTTTAATAATGCTAACACCGCAAACAAGCTAAACTAGTGAGACCATAAAACGTTGGAACAGACTGACTACAGAAGCGTCGTGAGGCAAGGAGGATCAATCAATCCATTCTCGAGGCATTCCAATCCAACCCAATCTCGAATTGTCGGTGACACCGCACTGCACCGCTCGTTTCATCAGTTTGTTCCCACCAAAATGTTGCACGAACAAAAGGTTTGCGAAAAACAGACGGCGACGCAAAACGCACTCTGGCGAAATCCTTACTTGGCCCCCTCCATTCATGTTGAGGGAATGACGGACCGCCCTGGTTTCGGGTTTCCGATTCCTTTCAGCAGTGATTTTGACACCGCCTTGCTTCGCGCTCGAGTCCGATACCTTCAGTCAGTTATTTACGCTATTGCCCCTTTTCGAGTCCAGAGACTAATATTGTGTTCATTTATCGGGATACCATAAATTGAATTGTCGCGTCAATTACGAGAAGCTCGGGACAAAAAATATATACCCCTCATGGAGGGCATGCCATTTGGGAGGCATCAACCCTAAACACCATGAGGCAAGGTGTTTAGGGTTGATGCCTCCCAAATGGCCAGCCATCCGAGAGGAGTTTATTTTTTCCACTGGCCACCCAGGTAAACTTCAGAATTTTCCTGGACACAGGAAATTGGAAATGTCGAAATCAGCTGCCCCAAGGAATCGGACACGAGCGGAGAAGCGAGGCGGTGTCAAAGCCACTGCCTAAAGGAATCAGAAATTTGAAAACAGGGCGATTCGTCATTTCCTCATTCATGTTCATGTGTGGAGTGGACGTGATGTGCGCATCAGTGAAAGTCACTCAATTGTACCCGTTTGTGGGTGCCTCTCCAAGATAAAAATACCTCAGAAACCGCAAGGACCCTTGCCGGTATCTTGCTTAAACTTAAAAAACCACATTCTGTGCTAGGATCATACATCATGGCTTTAGGGCTCCAGCTTGTGGTGGAATTGTAAATGTTGCTCTAAATACCAAGAAGCCATTGTGATGACTACCAAGTCCCATTCGCCAATACCCGCATGTCACCGCTTGCGAGCACAATGGTTTTACGTTCTCCTTCATCCTGTTCTTGTACATTGTCCCCCTTTATTGCTGAGACATCCCCTCGGTAAGTGTAAGTCCACTCGTGCGTGCTACCATAACATCTCGTCTTGGCCTTCTGTGCTTGTACTTCCACCCTTATTCAAACAGCTCTCCCATTTTCACCAAGACATCCCCTCCACTCTGGCCTTCTGAAACCGCACATTCAACCTCAGCTCATTCGACCAGACCCCTCACCCAGTCACCACATCATTCCCCCCCCCGCCCTCTGTACTGGTACATCCAGTCCATAGATCGCTCCATAGCACCTTTAGGCGCCCACTGCATCAATTCCTGCTGCATGCACTGCATTAGCGGGTTGTGGCTCGTCTGCCACTGCCATGTGCCCTGTGCCATGTGCCATGTGCCCTGTGCCCTGTGCCCTGTGCCCCAAACTGCAACCCTTGCTTCCCAGTCACCACGACATCCCCTCCGGCCCTCTATACTTGTACATCCAGTCCATAGATCTTTCCATAGCAGCTTGAGGCGTGAACTGCATTAGCCCCTGCTGCAAGCGCTGCACCAGCGGGTTATAGCTCGTCTGCCACTGCCCTGTGCGCCGGGACACAGCCATCATGCGTCTCACCGGCGCCTCCCTCGCTGCTCCCCATGCCACACAATCCCCCCAGCTGCCAGCCAACGAAGACATGCCCTCCCTACTGCCACCCTACCAGGACATACCCTCAGGCCCCTCTATACTGGTACATCCAATCCATAGACCGCTCCATAGCAGCTTGAGGAGTGAACCGCAATAGCCCCTGCTGCAAGCGCTGCACCAGCGGGTTATAGCTCGTCTACCACTGCCCCGTGCCCTGTGCCCTGTGCCCCAAAATGCAACCCTTGCTTCCCATTCACCACGACATGCCCTCCGGCCCTCTGTACTTGTACATCCAGTCCATCGATCTTTCCATAGCCGACTGTGGTGTGAACTGCAATAGCCCCTGCTGCATGCGCTGCACCAGCGGGTTATAGCTCGTCTGCCACTGCTTTTGAGGAGCCTCAAAAGTCGTCTCATGTCTCGCGGTTTTTATGTGGGGAGAATTATAATTGCATGGAAGTGTGCACGTAACCTTCAGCGGTTACTCGTAAGGGCGCGGTTACCAAAGTCACTCGCCAATGCTGTCGAAGAAGTTCCCGAAGGCTGACTTGGCACCCTGAATTTGTTTCATTGCCTAGTTGGCAAACCCCTTTCCTAGTTGGATTCTGGGTAGTTGGGTTTCTTATACGTAGATCTCGAGGGTAGTCTAGCTATTTTAGCTGCTACCAGACTCTCTGTTTCTGAGTTCCGAATTGTGCTGTACTGATGAAGGCGTGATTGGGTTCGCCCATCCGCCGAAACTAGTTTACGCAAGGAGGCTTTTCGGAAGCTAAGGTTTTTTTCAGATCTGCGTTTTTCTCACCTTTTTTCACTGTTTGATTCCTTTGCTTAAGCGTCCTCTCTACTACTGCAGCCCTTCGAAACATGAGTCAGGGTGACCCTTGGGATACCGAATGGTTTCCAGAAAACGAAGAGGCCGGTACTGAAGGACGCGGCTCGTCGAAGAAAGCTCGTGGGCGCGGAGGATCGTCGCGTCCTGCTACCAGGAGTGCATCGAAGCACTCGCGGGACGGCAGTCGTATTCCGCCTTTGCAGTTGACCTACGAACCTGTTTCACGAAGCAAGCAACCTGAGATTCCTCCCCCCGGACCTTCTGGGAGTCGTCCAAGCATGGAGATGCCGGATCAGCCCGTTGACAATTCTCCGATTCCTGAAATTTTCAAGAGTTGGACTACTGCAGCGGTGAAAGATTTCCGGGACGGCTTCAAGGACCTTCTTAAAGCGAAAAGCAAGCTTAAAAAGATGAAGGAGTTGGATCGCCAAGGTTCTATTCTGCACAGCATCAGGACTAAGGCGGTCGAATTCCAGACGAAGAACAACTCCGTCAAAGAGAAATCTGCAGCAGCTGTCGCGAAGATCCACTTGGAGAATAAAAAACGGCTGCAGGCGGAGTTTATCGCTTCTAAAGAACTGGAGGTTGAAGAAATTCAGGCAGCTGTCGGCACGCATGTCACGACTCTGGCGACGAAGATGGAAGAGTACATCAAGGGCCTCAGCTCCGACCCCGATCTGGTGGTTTCTGATACCGCCAAAGAACGCTATCGGCGACTGAAGGGGCGGTGCATCGAGAAGGCTCAATCTGACATCGCGGCGGCCAAGGATGAGATGACCATCCGAGAGATCGATCGACAGCATAAGCTGGCGGCTGAGGATTTGAAGAAGGCTGCTGCAGCTGAGGAGGTGCAGGAGATGGAAATGGAGCCTGCGATTGAGGAGATTCTGGCTAAGCATGCCAAGAAGATTGAAGACAAGCTTCGGCGGGAGATTACGCAGAAGCTTGAGGCCAGTCTATCTAAGAAGCTGCAGAAGAATCTTCACATCGGAGAGCAGAACTCTTCGCAGGCCGCATCCGCTGACAAGAAGCAGACGGCTCAACCTGGGAGGCAGGACGGTGCACCTGGGAAGCCTAAGCCGAAGAAGAAGCGGGGTGGTAAGACTCCAAAGAAGCAGAATTCCAGCGCCGACAAAGAGCAGCAGGCGAAAGGCCCTACCACATCGAAGGCCAAGGGACCAAAAAACGGCGGAGGCGGCCCCGGAAAAGGGCCGCACAAGAAGTGACCAGCCACGATTTAGCGCTCCGTTGGTTCGCGAAGCTAACGTTTCGGCAGGCGGTGTTACGAGTTCGCAACCGCGGAGTTCATAACCTTAGCGCCAAAGTCTTGTCCTTGGACGAGAAGAAAGCGCTGGGGCTTGGTCTGAAGTTTATCCCAACGCCCGCTGTTTCCCTTTCTACGGTCGAGTTAGATCAGCTTTGCCGACAGATTTCGCTACGTTTCTTCTTCAAGGATGCAGACCCGGCTAAGGACTATCGTTTTCGAGTGAGAAATCCGAGTTGGGCACCTGATCGGAGTGAGATTCCGGAGCAGGTTTTCAGAGATTCGTCCTCGGACCTATCTTTTCTGCTGAAAGCATCTAGGCCTCCTCGACACCGAAACATCTCGTTACGTGTTCGACAGGCCTTGCGTTCCATCGCCGCAGATCGTAGTGTGGTTATTAAACCGGCCGACAAGAACATCGGGATCACTGTGATGGATCGGGAACTTTATGTTCGTCTCTGTATGGACCATCTAGGCGACAGATCGACTTACACCCCGGTTCTCCACGATCCTACTGCCTTAGTCGTTCAGGGACTGCACGAACTGCGTCACGCATGGGGCCCTGCTTATCCCGACAGCCTTTGGAAGTATTTTTTAGACGAACCACCTGGAGGTTGGAAACCCGCAGCCTTTTACATCCTTCCTAAGCTACATAAGAAGCAGCTCGCTGGGCGTCCGATCGCCGCTTCGCATTCATGGGTTACTTCGAATGTCAGTAGATGGTTAGATGCGGAACTTAGGCCGTGGGTGCTACGACAGCATACTTACCTCCGAGACTCTCTTTCGCTACTCTTGTCGCTGGAGGAAACTTCATTTCCTAAAGAGATTCTTCTAGCCACGTACGACGTCTCGTCGCTCTACCCCAGTATTCCTCTTAGGCGCGGACTCGATGCGGTGAGCAGCATTTTGCAACGAGGGAGTCACCACAGTCTTCAACCAGTCATGGCCCTACTGGAGTGGGTCATGATGAATTCTTACGTGGAGTTCGACGGCCACCTGTACCACCAGACGCAAGGGACCGCTATGGGAACTCCTGCAGCGGTCTGCTTTGCGGTACTTTTCATGAGCCGCCTGGATGAACTTTTGAGGGAGAGATGGTCCGGAACGCAACCTCTACGCCATGTCAGATACATCGACGATGGCCTGATTCTTTGGCTTGGATCGAGGAGTGAGTTGGAGAAGTATCTGCAGACCTTCAACGAGCTTGACCCGAATATCAAACTGACGTGGCAGATTTCGGACAGCTCAGCTGATTTTCTTGATTTGGTCTTATTCAAGGGACCGAGATTTGCTGGGCAGGGTATCTTGGATCTGAAGACATTCCAGAAACCGCTTAACCGATACCTTTATCTCCCTTTTTCGTCTTTTCATCCCCGACACTGCAAGACTGGTTTCATTGCAGCTGAACTGAAGCGTTATCTTCTCCGCTCGACTTCTGCAGATACCTTTCTCGCCTCCAAGCGCGCTTTCTACCAGCGGCTACGAAGTCGGGGTTACCCCTCTGATTTCCTTCTACCCATCTTCAGGAGCATTTTCTTTCGACAACGACCTCTCCTTCTGGAGCAGACTGCTGCCCGCCACGCACACAAATTTGAAACTCCCCCCGAACGCGGCCCCCTAGTCTTGAAGACACTGTTCACACCTTTGACCGGACGTCTCAGGCTGGGGGTGCTTTTGAGGCGCCTCAAAAGTCGTCTCATGTCTCGCGGTTTTTATGTGGGGAGAATTATAATTGCATGGAAGTGTGCACGTAACCTTCAGCGGTTACTCGTAAGGGCGCGGTTACCAAAGTCACTCGCCAATGCTGTCGAAGAAGTTCCCGAAGGCTGACTTGGCACCCTGAATTTGTTTCATTGCCTAGTTGGCAAACCCCTTTCCTAGTTGGATTCTGGGTAGTTGGGTTTCTTATACGTAGATCTCGAGGGTAGTCTAGCTATTTTAGCTGCTACCAGACTCTCTGTTTCTGAGTTCCGAATTGTGCTGTACTGATGAAGGCGTGATTGGGTTCGCCCATCCGCCGAAACTAGTTTACGCAAGGAGGCTTTTCGGAAGCTAGGGGTTTTTTCAGATCTGCGTTTTTCTCACCTTTTTTCACTGTTTGATTCCTTTGCTTAAGCGTCCTCTCTACTACTGCAGCCCTTCGAAACATGAGTCAGGGTGACCAGCGGGTTATAGCTCGTCTGCCACTGCCCTGTGCGCCGGGACACCGTTATCATGCGCCGCACCCGCGCCTCCCTCGCTGCCGCGTACGCTGCAAGTGCCGTGGGCACTGCTGCTGCTGCTGCCTCATTCTGCCAGTTGTAGACCACACTGGGACTGCTGCTGCTGGTAGTACCTTCTGTGCTGCCCTCACTGCAGCTATCGCTGCTGCTTCCAGTGCTGCTGCTGTCGCTGCTTCTGCTGTGTTGCATGGTTGGAGCAACGCAGTACTTTGTTAAAGCCCGGGCCAGCACTGCAGCATCTTCTATTGCGCTGTTTGCCCCCTGATTCACTGTCGGCAGCATCGCATGAGCCGCATCACCCAACAGAACCACTCTGTTCTCCCCTCCAACCACTACCCGCCCCTCCACCTTCCCCCCTCCCCCTCCTCCCACACTCGGCGCTCCCCCCACCCACGGCGCATCCGCAGGCAGCTCGAAAAACCCAATTTTAACTGCCCGAACGGTCCGGGAAAACATCGCATGAGCATCGTACGGATGAAACCAGTTCCACATGTCGTCCATCCCCTTTAAAGCGTCACTCGGTGTCCACATAGCGAGGTTATCTGCAGTGATCAGCTCCTGTTCTGATAAAAACCAGTACTGCTTGTCGCGACCCATGCTCCAGGTGCCGTAGACTTTGCCTGGCCCGAGAACCCAGTAGGCACTGCCCTTAAGCCAGTCTGGGACGGAAGAGGTGACTCCGAGGATACAGGAGATGCCACTGTAAGCTGCTGAACCACGGCTTGGTTTACGGTCCTGGGAGAAAATGGGAGAAAGGGAAAGAGCGAGTGAGTGATTGTTAGCCCCAGCACTCAGTGGCGCTGCCCCTAAGCCAGTCAGGGACCGAGGAGGTGACTCCGAGGATGCAGGAGATGCCACTGTAGGCTGCTGAGCCGCGGCTTGGTTTACGGTCCTGGGAGAGGGAGGGAGAGAGCAAGAAAGAGAGAGGGAGAATGAACCACTGATGATTTTAGATTGAACCAGAGTGTCAGTCAGGCATGAAAGAGGTAATTCCGAGGATACAGGAGATGCCGCTGTAAGCTGCTGAGCCACGGCTTGTTTTACAGTCCTGAGAGGGGGAGGGAGGGGGCGAGGGAGTGAGTGAGAGTGTGTGAGCGAGTGTGTGTGTATTTGTATAAGGTTTGTATGTGTGTGAGCGAGCGAGTCTGGGTGTGGGTGATTTCGAGTTTGAACGACCAATAACAGATGCTGACATGGCACAACAAAACTCACATGTGGGTCATGACGTGGCATGACATCACTCGCAAGTGGATCATGACGTGGTATGGCGCCACTCACATGTGGATCATGACGTGGCATGACAGCAGAACGGACGGCTGATTTCACCCCATCTGCTCCCACCACCACATCGCCCACCTCACACGTGCCATCCTCGAAATGCACTCGCACGCCTGGTGGGGGAGAGAGAAGGAAAGGAGGGACAGAGACCTACATATTGACTGACAATCGGCACACCCAGTGACAGCTGGCACACCCAGTGACAGACAGCTGGCACGCCCAGTGACAAACAGCTGGCACGCCCAGTGACAGACAGCTGGCGTACCTTTCCCCGGCCCAAGGTTCTGCACGGAGATGCACTTTTTGTTGAACAGGATGGGCGGCACTGATGCTGACTCAGCGCCTGACATCACCTCATGCACCAGCAGGCCCTGCCACGAGGCACAGGGAGGTGAGGAAGGGGAGTGGAGGGGAAAGCGGCAAAGGAGGTTGGGAACGGTGGGGAGGAGGAAGAAGTTCGGGTGGCGGGGGGAGGAAAGTCATCATGGGACAGTCAAAGGGCCTTTCAACCTAATGCAAGATTAGCATGATCATCCTGAACCCCCCATTCCCCTTCTCCTCTCTGCCTACCCACCTGCAGCTCTGCTCGCTCCAGGGCCATCATGGGGTAACCGTAGCGCTTGGACATGAATGAATAGTCAAAGGTGCGAAGCTTCTTCCCACTTTCCGTGTATGTGTGTAGCGACGAGATGGGTCCGCTAAGATTCTGTGAAGCGGAACGAAGAGAAGAGGGACGTTTGAATAAAAGGAGCAATGTGTTAGGAACGAAACAAAGCCATCAGAACGTACAAATGTCTTAGAGACTTCACTACGTGTCAGGAACATAACACCTCCACCAGTTCAACCTCCCCCTCCCCCAGTTTTACATCTCCTAAAATTACCTCTCCCAACCCATGCTTTTCCGCACCTGGATCTTCTCGTAAAGCCCCAACCCATCCAGCACGCGGAGCCCATTCGCGCCAAATGACAGCCCCATGCTGGCCGCCTGGATCTGCGGCACCCAGTTTCACCTCCCCCAGTTATACCTCCCCCTTCCCCAGCCTGTGTTTCCCCTCATCTTCTCGTACAGCTCAAGTCCGTCCAACACGCGCAGCCCATTGGCACCCAGTTATACCGAGAGCCTAGATCTACCTCCCCCAGTTCTACCTCCCCCTATTATACCTCCCCCTTTCCCCCATTCTTTGTTTCCCTCACCTGGATCTTCTCATAATAGCCCAAGCCCATCCAACAAGAGCAGCCCATTGGTACCCAGTGACAGCCCCGCGCCAACAGCCACTCTGTTCTACCTCTCCCAGATCTACCTCCCCCAGACTGTATTCCCCTCACCTGGATCTTCTCGTACAACCCCAACCCATCCTGCACCCAGAACCCATACGCTCCCAGCGACAGCCCCGCGCCGACCACCTGGATCTGCGACACCCAGTTCCACCTCCCCCTGTTCTACCTCCCCACTCCTTAGCCTGTGATTCGCGCACCTGGATCTTCTCGTACAGCCCCAACCCGTCCAGCACGCGAAGCCCATTGGCGCACAGCGACAGCCCCGCTCCGACCGCCTGGATCTGCGGCGCCTGCTCGAACACCGTCGCCTCGAACAGCGACTCGGAGGGCGATGCGGGGGGCAAGGCCGTGGCGGAGCCGGCAGCGGCGGCTGTAGCGGAGGGGGTGGCGGCTGTAGCAGCGCGTTGGAGGATCGCGGGAAGCGTGCGGGCGGTGATTTGGCGGAGCGCGAGGGAGAGCGTGCAGCCGCCGATGCCGGCGCCCACGATCAGGACGCGTAGCTTGCGCATTGTGACTATAGCGCGAGGTGACAGGAGCGGGAGAGCGTGAGCATAGAGGATCTTGAATACTTGAAGCTTCGCTTGGAAGTGCAGAAGCAACCCTTTATGATCGATTTTGCCAAATTTTATTTTCATATTCATTATTTTTTAATAAAATATGAAAAAAAAAATCATAAACAACAGTACCCTCCCCATACTGTGAACATGGTGAGTAGTTGTCACTACTGTTCACAGCACATCAAACCATATGATTTTTCTTTATCAGGTGTTTCGTGCAGATATGTTGTACTGTTTGCATTATATGTTTTTGTCGAAATATGTTTACATATTTTATAACTGCTTGTAGTTGTAGTGTAGGCATCATGATTTCCTGCTTGTGGTGCACCTCTCCTTGCATGTTTCTCATCTATTTGTACTTGCAATTATATAGTGCAACCATCCTTATGTGCTACTCTCTCTCTCCTTCTCGACATTCACCTAGGCTAGGGTTTCTCCTAAGCCTAGGCTCACCTACTATTTTAACATGTTATCAGAGTTGGTCCTTCCCAGGACCTAATTTTCATAGGCCCACCAGTCGCGCTGCCCGTCATGCAGCACCCCTGCCCGTCACGCGCCCCGAGCACGTGGCGGTTTCTGCCCGTCGCGCGCCCCGGGCGTGTGGCAGTTTCTGCTCGTCGCACGCCCCGGGCGTGTAGCGGTTTCTGCCCGTCGCACGCCCCGGGCGTGTGGCGGTTTCTGCTCGTAGCACGCCCCGGGCGTGCGTCGGTTTCTGCCCGTCGCGCGCCCCCAGCACGCGACGGTGTTCTGCCCGTCGCTCGCCCCCAGCGTGCGACAGTTTTCTGCCCGTCGCGCGGGGCCCCGTCGCAGTGCTTCCCGTCGTCCCCGCCGCCCGCTTCCTCCTCCCTCTCCTGCTTCGCGTGCAGCAGTTTGGGGGGGGGAGGGGGGGGGAGGGTGTTGGGGGGACGCAGGAGTGGCGGTGGGGGGTGGTTGCACCTCCAGCGCCCCGCTGCTCTGCTTCGTCACCAAGCCAGCAGCCCCCCCCTCCGCCTCTACCTTCCCCCCCCTGCTGCTCCTACTGCAGTGGTGGTTTCTGTCCGGCGCCTCGTGCGCCTCTGCCCGGCGCCTCGTGCGCCCTGCCCGCCCGCGCCCGCCTCACCAGATCGCGCACCTCGCCCCCCCTCCCTTCTCTGCCCTCTCCCTACTGCGTGTGCAGCAGTTTGGGGGGAGGGGGAGGTGGTGTAAGGGGGAGGTGGCACCAACGGCACCACCCTGCCTCCTCTATTTCACGGCCGCACCTGCTGCTGTGGGGGGGGGGGGGGGTGGAGTGGTGGGAGTGGCGGGAGGAGCTACTGCCGCTACCGCTTGCCTTCCCCTCTCTCTCCCTGCTGCGCGTGCAACAGTGGGGGGGTGGGTTTGGGGTGGCGGGTGTGAGCTGTCAAAATCCCAGTCACTAGACCATTGGGATAGAAGGGCTTGTTAAGTAGCGGGTCAGTGCGCCCATAACCCCCCAGGACAACGTGCCTGTAACCCTTCCCTAGGATCAATCGGGGATCACCAGTGGGATGCCCGAAGAGCACACACTGGGATTCGAACCCGAGACCTTCGCTCTGATAACATGTCAGAATCCCAGTCACTAGACCATTGGGATAGAAGGGCTTGTTAAGTAGCGGGTCAGTGCGCCCATAACCCCCCAGGCCAACATGCCTGTAACCCTTCCCTAGGATCAATCAGGGATCACCAGTGGACCTCTGACATGAGCACCCAGCTGCCGCCCCTCCTCCTCTCTCTCTCACTGCCGCACGTGCCGCTGTAGGGGGGAGGGTAAGGGGGTGGCGGGCTTCTGGCCGCCGTCTGAAGGCTTGAGCAGGGACCACCGTGGGTGGGGAAGGCGTTGGAGGAAGGGTGGGGGGTGCGGAGATAACTCTATCAACGGGAGCTAGACTACGGGCTAGGCACGGGGTAGGAGGGATCTCTGCGTTTGTCCACTTAGTCGTTCTCTAGCACTTGTGTGTTCACAGGGCAAAACCACAAGAGTTTCACTAGCAAAAGTTGAGAACAATGGTTGGTCGAAACTAGATTGGCAAGATAGACTACATCAGAAGCCTAGTATACAAGTCGACCACCAGCTCAGCACGAAGGCGACTTGCCAGTTGGTCGACCTCAGACGTCCTCAGGCATCCTCAGTCGACCTGCAAGGCTGGTGTGCCAGCACACCAGCAACAGGCCACCACAGATCACCACACGTGCTCATGTGCGCGCACCTACTTCGCTGGTGCAAGGTGACGGTAACGACATGCACCGCCACGCACATCCCGCAGGTGCCAAGTAATGCACATTGCGCAGGTGCCAAGTCGACCACATGTCGACGGTTGCACCTGAGGAGTCCCGTTGACCACGTGCCACCGAACCGCAGGTCGATATTGTCAATCTTCCTGGGCGACAGTCGCGAACCTCGCAGACCTCGTCGTCCGGGTAACCTGGTCAACCAGGCAACCATGTCGACCAGGTGTGTCATCCCAGGCCCGTCGACTGCCCAGGTCGACGACCACCACATGTCGACCACACCAGGTCGACCACTCCCCTGGTCGACCAACTCCAGGTCGACAACCCACCTGGTCGACCAACTCCAGGTCGACCAGTACACCTGTCAACCGACCACACCCAGTTGGCTTCCCCTGGTCGGGGTCACCCAAGTCGACGCCCTCCACTGGTCGACCTCCCAAGTCGACCAGCCGAAGTTGGCGCCCTCCCAAAGTCGGCGCCCTTGTAGTGGCCCTTGTGCAGGTCGACAAGGCCCGTCGACCAGCTCGCCCACTGTTGCAGGTCGGCTGCACTCCTCACACCCGACCCCGAGGTCGGCTCCGCCCTAGCGAGGACGGGGCCAACAACAACTCCCGTTGACAGGGGGGAAGGTGTGAGGTTCCAGGGGGTGGTTGACAAGGGGGGTGAGGTTGAGGGGGGTGGCTGAAAGGGGGCGTGGAATTAGGGGGTTAGTAAGAGGGGCTCCCCGCGCTAGGCTCCCCCCCACCTCCTCTCCTCCCTCTCTCACCCCCCCCCCTTTGTAAAACGGGGGTTTGTAAGAGGGGTTCGCCGCGTGGCTCCCCCCACCTCCTCTCCTCATCCCTATCTCACCCCACCTTTGTAAAACGGGGGTTCGTAAGAGGGGCTCGCCGCGTGGCTCCCCCCACCTCCTCTCCTCATTCCTCTCCTCTCCCCTCTCTCTCTCTCTCTCTCTCTCTCTCTCTCTCTCTCTCTCTCTCTCTCTCTCTCTCTCTCTCTCACCTCCTCCTCCTCATTTACCTCCTTGCCGTCTTCCACTGCGCGTGGTGTACCCCTTCAAGGGGCGTAACTACACTTCTTCCTACAAGCAATTATGGGGGCGTGTCGAAATATGTTTACATATTTTATAACTGCTTGTAGTTGTAGTGTAGGCATCATGATTTCCTGCTTGTGGTGCACCTCTCTTTGCATATTTCTCATCTATTTGTACTTGCAATTCTATAGTGCAACCATCATTCTGTGCTACTCTCTCTCTCCTTCCTCTCGACATTCACCTAGGCTAGGGTTTCTCCTAAGCCCAGGTTCACCTACTATTTTAACAGTTTTACTATTAAATGGTGTTGTAGTAATGATAAATAAATGCATGGGCATAAATAATGCTATAGGATGCATAATGCTTAATATGATATGTCATGGATCATGATGCACATGCATGCACATAATAAAATACGTGACAGTTAACGACCCAAAAAACTAAGCTACCGCCAAGGCCTCAGATTCGTTTTAGTCAGGTTTTAGTCAGGTTTTTTAACCTGAAAAGTCAGGTTTTTTAACAAACAAGACACTAATGGGTCAGCCAATAGCATCCTCCAGAGGCCTTAGTGATGTATTTGAGGACAGACAGTTTGAGCTTGAGTGTCTTGCGGTCGCTTTACCTCGTTTCGCATCCATGCTGCTTTGCCCTGAGGGAGACCCGGATGCACTTGACATCCCTACCCCGCGCTCTCACGCTGAGGCGGTCGCGGGTGAGTACTCCTCTCCGTGGCAGACAGCCATGGACGCAGAGAATGTCAGAACATTATAGCTTATACATTTGTGTAGGCTGTAGTGGGGTAGCCCACAAGGGGTACGACCCAATTAGTACTTGTACCCAACTGTTTGCTAGTTCATCCATTCTCGTTCGTTAATTTGACATGGTATCAGAGCAGGTTCCTTGGGCCCACCACCTGCTACGCTGCTAGTAACCGCCCCTAGGCCCGTCGACCCCTAGCCCGCGCCCGGCCCCGTTCCTAGCCCGCGCCCAGCCCCGTCGGCCCTTAGCCCCGCGCCCGGCCTCGTACCTAGCCCGCGCCCGGCCCCGTACCTAGCCTCACGCCCGGCCCCGTTTCGCACCCAGCCCCGTATCACGCCAGGCCCCGTATCGCGCTCGGCCCCGTACCTAGCCTCGCGCCCGGCCTCCGTTCCGCGCCCAACGCCCGGCCCCGTACCTAGCCTAGCGCCCGGCCCCGTATCGCGCCCAACGCCCGGCCCCGTTCCTAGCCTTGCGCCCGGCCCCGTATCGCGCCAGGCCCCGTATTGCGCCCAACGCCCAGCCCCGTACCTCCCCAGCGCCTGGCCGCGTCCCTTGCCCAGCGCCCGGCCCCGTACCTAGCCCGCGCCCGGCCCCGTACTTAGCCCGCGCATGGCCCCGCACCTAGTCTCGCGCCCGGCCCCGTACCTGCCTAGCGCGCGGCCCCGTACCTGCCTAGCGCCCGGCCCCGTCCCTTGCCTAGTGACCGGCCCCGTATCGCGCCCAACGCCCGGCCCCTTACCTCCCCAGCGCCCAGCCCCGTCCCTTGCCCAGCGCCCGGCCCCGTACCTAGCCCGCGCCCGGCCCCGTACCTAGCCCTGCGCCCGGCCCAGTACCTAGCCCGCGCCCGGCCCCGTACCTAGCCCTGCGCCCGGCCCTGTTTCGTGCCCCACGCCCGGCCCCGTACCTAGCCCTCGCCCGGCCCCGTACCTAGCCCGCG